TCAACATGTGAATTTGGGGGGACACATTCCGACCATAGTACATACAGCTGAGAGAAAGAGACAGAGAGAGAGAGAAAGACAGACCAGTGCCTAGTGGGCATTTTGGGGGTTTTTGGTTTTTGTTTTTTTTTTTTTCCTTTTTGTCTTTTTTACTGACTGGTAACAGGATCGCAACCCTCGGTGTCGCGCCCGCACCGCGCTCAGCCAGTGAGTGGGAACTGGTCTCCACATGAGATCCGAACCCTCGGCAGGAGCGCCGCCGTGCTCCCAAGTGGCACACTCTCCAGTGCACCACCAGGCCGGCCCCATTTTGGGGGTTTTGGAGGCAATGTATTTCTCATCTGAATTTGTTACTCTGACCCATTTATAAAGTGACTGGAGAAGCTGCTAGTTTTGAGTAGGGCCCAGAACAAGAGAAGGCTCTGCAACAGGTTCACGATGCTGAACAAGTTGCTTTGGCACTTGGGTCATGTGATCCAGCAAATCTAATGGTACTTGAAGCATCAGTAGTGCATAGGGATGTTGTTTTGAACCCTTGGCAGACTCCTATATGTGAAGTGCAGTATAGGCCGTTGGGATTTTGTAGCAAAGCCCTGCCATGCTCTTCTGATAACTAATCTCCTTTTGAGAAACAGCTCTTGGCTTGCTACTGGGCTGTAGTAGGGACTAAACACTAAACCATGGGCCAACAAGTTACCATGTGATCTGAACTGCTATTCATAAAATGAGTGTTATCTGACAAAGCCATAAAGTTGGACATTCACAGCAGCACTCTATCATCAAGTGGAAGTGGTATATGCAAGACTGGGCCTAAGCAGGCCCTAAAGGCACAGGTACGTTACATGAAGAAGTTGCTCAAATGTCCATGGTCTCCACTCCTGCTACACTACTTTCACTTTCCCAGCCTGCACCTATGGCCTCATGGGGAGTTCCTTACAATCAGTTGACAGAGGAAGAGAAGATGAGGGCCTGGTTTACAGATGGTTCTGCATGATATGCAGGTGCCACCCGAAAATGGACAGCTACAGCACTATAGCCCCTTTCTGGGGCATCCCTGAATAACAGAGGTGGAGGGAAATCCTCCTAGTAGGCAGAACTTCAGGCAGTGAAACTGGTTGTTTACTGTGCCTGGAAGAAGAAGTGGTCAGACATAGGATTATCTACCAATTCATGGGCTGAGGGCAGTGGTTTGGCTGGACGGTCAGGGACTTGGGAGGAACATGATTGGAAAATTGATAATAAGGAAGTCTGGGGAAGGAATATGTGTACGGCTACTCTGGGAAAAGATATTTGCATCTCATGTAAATGCTCGCCGAAGTGTAACCTTAGCAGAGGATTTTTAAATCAAGTTGATAGGATTACTTGTTCTTTGGATAGCAGTCAGCCTCTTTCTCCAGTCACTCCTGTCATGAAGCGCTGCAATGGGCTCATGCTCACGGAATTCACTGCTCTTACCAAGTTCTCCATCATCTTGAAGTAGCTGGTTTGGTAGAATGGTAGAATGCTTCCACTGGGACATACAACAATGATTCCATTGAATTGGAAATTAAGATTTCCAACCTGCCATTTTGGACTCTTCATGCCTTTGAATCAACAGGCAAAAAAGATACTCTGCTTGCTGGGATGATTGATCTGGACTAATGGGAAACTGGACTACTACTCCACAATGGAGGTAAGGAAAAGTCTGCAATACAGGAGATCCCCTAGAGATGTCATCTTAGCAATGAATGCCCTGGCCAACATTTGGCCCCTCTGCAAATTTTTAGACCCTTAGGCCACTGCCAGTGATCCAATTATCTAGTTTGGTCAATGGCAGCACCATACATTCCTTATCCAATGTTGTCCCTTTTGGGGTAAGAAATTCTGATAGTCTCTTGCCTCATAGATACCAAAGTATAAACCAATACCATACAATGCCTCTATATAAACTAAAGGTATAATACAAGGCCTTATCAAAACACTCCTTATTGCCTTCAGAGTTAGAGACTTTGTTGATGGCAACCAAGGCTTTCATGTTACTTCTCAGAATACACAATGCTAAGCTCTAGAACAAGACACTTGATGGAACTTCCATCTTCCTTAATGGTCTCAGGCTACAGACATAATAGAATACCATAATGGCTTATTTAAACCTGTTCAAACTCAATTAAAGAAACATGATATATTTTAGTTATCAAACATTAGGGGCAAATTGTAATAAACTCTTTTTTTTATGTTTGACTGCTGACAACATTTAAGCCTCACCTCTCCCTTTTCCCCTTCAGCCCTACAACTGCATGAGCTAATAAAAATCCTGGGTGCTCTCTCCTTTAATGCTGGAGGGAATTTCAAACCATGCAAGCCCCAGCTGCACATTGGAGCCCTCACCCCAGCCCCACCCACCTAAACACAACAAAAACTCCAAGCCAGTATCCTTTCCTTGCTCTTTCATTTTCAGACCAGCTTTGGAAGCCTGCCCTGCTCTCCCCACCTGTCCCCCAAAAGCTTCTTTATATGAGTAATAAACCTTCGGATACTCTATTGATGTGTATGTGGTAGCATCAGTCTCGCTATTTGAACCAAATTTTGCTTGGGGGTCCATTCTGTATCTTCAGAGTGGCCACACAGGTGGCCTATGTTTATAAAAATAATTCTCAGCTGGATACATAAAAGGAAAGTGAATTTGTAGGGGAATGGCTCCTCCATGGTGCCCTGGCATCCTTGCATGTATCCACATAGGCTTGAGCTACAGCTAATCTGAGTCTTGGTTAAATGCCTTTTGATCCTCCCAAACATGAGAAAGTAAGTAGTTGCTAAATGGCCATCTCCCAGTCACTTTCCTAGCTCCCCTGGGGGGGTTGTCATGAACCAGTTTCTCATCATCTACCAGTTTCCCATGAGATATAGGGTTTTCTGTCCTGTGCCCTTCAGAATAGAGTGCAGAATATAAAATCACTCAGGTGCAGTGCAGATTTGGCTCCTCAGCAAAAGAGTATCCCACAATTTGCATTAAAGTCATCTAGCCCCTTTTGTTTGTCATCTTTTTGGGCTCAGGGAGCTGGCCCCTTCTTTGCACTGTTTATCTAAGTACTAAATTGTCTAAATCTAGAAGTGGCTCCTTGTATCTTTACTGGTCAAATCAGTCAGGCCTTGGACTTGTATGTATGAGCTTGTTACCATAATTCTGATTGCTAGCTTATGTCTTCTACCCATAAACTAAAATAACTAGCATACTTGTATTCATATAACAGTTCTTACAATGAATAAATACTGAGAGCTTACTCTGCTATGTACTTCAATCATCTGTATTTTGGGAAGCCTTCAGAGAATTATCAAATACAGCTGTATATCAAATAGAGTTTAGCACCTGAGGTAATACAGTAATTTATGAAGCTAAGAAGTTGGGAATATATTGGTACTGGAAGATTCTGAAACATAAAAACATGACTTATACACAAAATATTCCTCCAAAAAAAGAGAAACTTGAGCACAAGTCACAGTCTTTTGGTATTTCATTTTTCATATTTTCCAGTAAAAAATACCTGCTAAAATAATAGCAATGTGTTTTTGACAAGTATAATAAACACGTTATGAGCACCTGTGGGGTGCCATGTTCTAGGCTCTGTGCCAGACTCCAGGGGCACAGAGACAAACCAGTCTGGGCCTCAGAGCCAGGGGACCTCAGAGTTTAGAAGGCAGAGACATTTGGGTTAATAAGTGTAATATAATTTTGATAAGAACTATGACATAGCACAGCAATGGGGTACCTGGGAACACAAGAGTACATCTTACCCCAGGAGATCAAGAAGGGCTTCCCAAAAGCAGTAGTTAACAAATGTAAGGACTATGATTATCCCTATTTTACAGATGAGAAAGCTAAAGATTAGAGAGATAAAGTAACTTGGCAGAGGCCATACAACCTTTGGTCAAGCCAGTTCTGAGCCATAGCCTATTGGACTCCAAACCACTATTTGTTTTAATTTACTCCCATCACGTACAGTTCCCCTGGCTCTGCTTGCCTCCAAATTTTAAAAATCTGCTAAAATCAAAGTAAACTCAAATTAGGAAACAACTTCCAGGGAAAGACTGATGAAAGTTTTTGTGGTATATCATGGTGCCTTTTCACAGGGGAACCTTGGAATTGAAAGCTCTGTCCTGTAGTGAGTGGTAAAGGGCTCTAAGGTAAACCCTTTACCTCCCCTTTCCCAGGTTGGTTTGGGGAACTGCTTGCTCTTAGAATTAGAACACACTTAGCAGGAGTAGAAGGGGCAGCTTTAGCTTCACAGTCCTTTACACTTAGGAAGGAATTCATCTTCCATGGGAGAGGTATTCAATGCTGTTCTCACTTTTTGCCTGCTCCTTCTTGACCTGCAGAAAAGTCAGGACAGACCTCATATCTTTTGACATAAGCACAGCTTCACTCACTCTGACCTAGAAGGCTTTAGCCTTTATGGAATTCTAAACACAGTCCAGAAATGAAGGAACAGCTGCAGTTTGTGAAATGCAAAATGGTTCACTGCAGTCAGGAATGTTGACTGCTTACTTTCCTATTTCACCTACCTTCAATAAAACTTTAAATTTAATTAACATGCAACCAACAAATCTACAGCTATCATTCCCCTAAAACCTATTCAAAAAACAGCATTATGTGGATTTTTATAAAATTCCATAACTTTGCTCCTTGGAGGCTCCACTTGATTTTTCACATTGATATGAACTGGACTGTAGGCGTTGTCAAAAACCCTACTCAACAGCATATGAGAATCCATTCTCATTTTCCAGTAGGAATAAGTAAGGATTTAACTTTTCCTATTTCAATGGGCCAAATTAAAAGAAAAACCTAATATTGGTCTGTAGCAAGGAAACCATAGTCAGGGTATGTCTCCCCTCTTTTTGAGCATTTGACCTCTTTGAGCCAGAAGTGGTAACCTCAGAGCCAACATCTTTTAAACAATCTAAAATTTTTCCTCCACTTTTTTTCCTTTACCTTATATATTAGCCTTAATAAGAAAAACTCCAAGTTGTTTTAATTAGCTTTTTATTATGGAAAATGTCAAACACACAATAGTAGAGATGAACGTATATAATGAACCACCCTTTAACCATCACCCAGCTTCAACAATTATCAAGGCCAATCTTGTTTCATCCATGTCTCCAATGCACTTAAAATCCAGACTCATTGTTTTACAGCAATTCCCAGACATTGCTTCATTTCAATTGTAAATATTTGAGAACGCAGATAAGGACTCGTTTCCAACATAACCACAATACCATTAACTCTAATATCAATATCCAGTCAAGTTCAAATTACCCTATCTCATAAATGTATTCATTTTAGTTTGGTTGAATCAGGATCCAAATAAGATCCACACAATTGGTTAAGATGTATCTTAAATTTCTTTTAATCTATAAGTCCATCCTCCATCTCTCTTTTATCCTTGCAATTTATTTACTGAAGAAACTGGGTCATTTGTCCTATAGAGTTTCCTGAAGTCTGGATTCTGCCGGTCGAATCTCTGTGGTATAGAGTAATGTGTTTCTCTCTTCTCTGTATTTTCTATAGATCAGGAACTATGTCTAGAGGCATGGTCAAATTTGGTTTAAAATTCTGGCAAAAATACTTCATAGGTGGTGTAGAGTACTGCCATCAGGAGGCCCATCAATGTCTGGGATGACATAGACCTATGAGTAAGAATTTTTGCTTTCTAATATCTCACAGCTACCTTGAGACAGCTGTGTGACACCTGATATATAAAAGACAAATATATGCTAGACAGATTAGAAGGGGAATGTTTTATCACTCAGTGTCATTACAAAATAATTATTTAAACAAAACTTCAGTGATGTCTACCATATTTCAAGGAATGCTTATATGCTAGATATAAAAAAAAAGACTCAGGAAACAAGTCCCTTGCATTCAAAATCATATAACCGGATTAGAAATACAGACATATTATCATAAAAGCACAAAAAAAAGGCAACAGGTGCCAAATTAGAATTCTGTACAGATACAGTGGTAGTGCAACAACCTGGAAAATAGTTGTAATAGAAAGGGAAGAAGTGTCCAAAAGCATAGGATGAGCTGTATCCTTGGGAGAGCGAAAGAGCTCACCTGTGCTTCACAATTCCATTCATCATTGGGTTCACATACTTGATTCTTTCAAAGTAAATCTGAACAACATCTATGCCATTCACCTAGAAAAAAATAATCTTATTAATACAGTTTTATTGGTTCATCAGTTCCTCTAGTCAACAAATATTTACTGAGGACCTACTATGGTTCATCAACCACTTTGTACTGGAAAAGCCTTCAGTGAATTATCCACTGTAGTCCCACTGTGAGGCCAAATGAGAGCCTGAGGGAATAACGAATTGTCCCAGGTACATTATGAAGCTGAGAAATCAGGAATACACTGGTGGTAGACATTTCTAATCTATGGATCAATGAAAAATGTCTCAAAATTTCAGCCACTGTTCTATGCTTTGAGGATACAGGGAGGATTAAGTCTGGGTCATAGTCCTCAAAGAGTTCATATTCTAATAGGCTAACAGTCATTCAGAAAGATGATTACAATACTAGAATGATGCTGAAAATATTTGTTTTGCCTGATGCTTCCACAAAAGGAATACTGAAAAAAAAATTTGGCCAGGTGTTAATACTGTAGGCTCTAAAGCAGCATTTTCACCTCCCTTTTCCCAGTTAACAACCATTGAGGAAGGAACTGCTCTTTCTTACAATTGGACTCCATATAAAGGGAAGGGAGAGAAGGAGCAGCTCCAGCTTCAGAGCCCTTTAAACTATCTGTCCAAGAAGGGCCCTTTAATGTTGTTATTTTACAAGCTGCCTGTTCCTATTCTTACACACACACACTCCAATTTTTATTGTCTCTAAATACAAATATGCTAAAATCACTACAGTTCTCTCAAATGAAACTATACAAAGAAATTAAAAACATTTATGGCCACCCCTCACTCCTTTCAGGGTTAATTCTTTCAACAGTGATCTGATCAACAGAATATAGATAGGTTTCTTAGAAAATATAATACATTAGACACTCAGGGCAAATTCTGTATCAAACATACTAAAATTACCTTTACTTCAACATGTCATCTTCAAGCTTTTTTTAAGAGTAAGAGTAGGCACTTGTCCAGTGGGGAAAAAAATAGCCCTTTAAAAAACATGCTGAAAATAAATTTCTTTCTACTTCATAACTGAAAATCTTAATTCTTTTGGATCAGGCCACTGTTTTTTGAGGCAGGGGGTAGGGCAGAGTATGAGCTGAAAAATTAAGCTGTACATTTTTTACTGCAATCATCACTTAAATAATGTATAGGTGCTATGTAATGACTCTGTAAGAAGAAAATTCCAACTGTGCATTAAACTTGGAGGACAGAGGTTATAGACACCATTTAGTTTACCTTTGTGTCAACTATTTTACCCTAAAATTTTTGGATTATTCTTTTAAAATGAAAAGCTATTTGGGCCCTTTCATTTAATTTTTTCTATACTGAATTCCATAAGTATATTTAATAAGAACTACCTATGTGAATTTCAAAACTTACTTTAAAGTCTAATAACTGTAAAATGTTCTGTTGCAATTTAGGAATGAAAGGCTTGGGAGTTTTACAAATTGCATAAACTGAAGGTATCTGGATGCTAAAGAAAATCCTAGCAAGTTGTAGTACTCAATCCAAATGATTCTGAACAAAACAAAGCAAATATTTACAGGCTAAGAACTCTTGAGAGCTGGTTAACATCAACACTGTACTTTTTCACATTTGTCAAATATATAGTTCAAAAGTTAAAACATAGATTGTGCATTATTATCTCTATGAATGACACGTTTAAGTTAAATCTCCCAGGTATGTGTGCCATTTTAGATCAAGGCAGTACTACGTATAAAATAAAGTGATAAAGAAACAATCCACTTTCTTTGTGGTTAGTGTATACTTTGAAGAATCTCAGTTTACTGAGACTATTAGTCGTTTTAGATTATTGGAATAGAAAAGGTCAATTTGTGGGATTTAAAGTTTGTTTAAAAAATAAGAAGGCATGTATTTCTATAAAAAGAAAGATACATTTTGATAAATTCCACACTTCTGCATAATTTAGAGCATGAAATTATACATTTGTTTTTTTAAAGCTATTTATTTTCTATTCCACTCATTCATTCGACAACACTGACTTTTGTTAACTACATGTTTTTTATTTAGACATATTTCTATATGGCAAAGATCTTATTTTAAAAAGAGGCACCAAAGATTAAAAAAAAAAAAGTAACAATATTCAATTCGACCAGTGACTGTGTCTTTTAAAAAGTTCATTTGTAGAACAAAATATTTAAATTACAGCTAATAACCACTTAAATTTATTATTAGTTTGTAGAATACTCTTAAGATGTTAAGTGTTCTATGTAGAAAGATATCCCTCATCCATACTCCCTTCACAAAGTAGGCTATTCCACAACCTTCATGGGAGATGAGTTCCAGAAGAATTCAGACTTCACACAACTCTTAAGCAGAATGCATAACAGGGACCCAAAGTGCCTATCAATAATGTTTAAGAGACATGATGTATTCTAGGTTTCCTAACAATTAGGCATGATTTTTCCACGCTTGATACTCGCTTCAAAAGTAGGCTTCCTTCTACATAATTTCTAACATGGCTGGGGGAATAGAGAAAGTTCCAGAAGATATACTCATATATTTTAGAGGGGATTCCTGATTTCAGGCAAGTATCGAAGCAAACGTAAGAACTTTTAACCCCAAAAAGTTTGTCCTGAAACAAAACATTTACCCCCTAATCTCTAAGAGAGAGTGTCCCAACAGTTTGAGAAGTCTGTAACAGCTGAGCATCAAAAGAGCTCACTCAACTGGAATGTAATCATCACAAAAGCTCCCAGGCCTGTGGTTACTGGGCGTCAGGGAAGTTTAACTGGAATGGCACTAAGATAAATTTCTTTCAGAAACGAATTTATATCGAGAGAATCATGGTTCTTCTAGGGTATGGAGAAAGGGGCAATGGGCCTTGGAAACTGACGACACTAAGTCATATTCTGTGAACACAGTTTTCAAGGTAAGATGTGTACTGTATATCAAATGTGCTTGGCTAGCAATTCCCCAGAAATCGCTATTCTCTGAGGTACTACCTTGCTAAACGCTATAGAAAGTGGCCATTTCAAGTCAGCAGTGAAAAATGACCAGCTGTGAAAGTTTTTTGAAAATCAAATGATCTACATATGAATAGACGAATTCCTGAAAAAGGCACATTAGATCACATTTCTGAAGCTAACATTACTGTCCAGTGCAGAAGGAGCACAAGACGTAAAATTTCTTAATCGTTTTTTAAGAATTCCAAACTCATCATTTAAACCAACTCTCGCCACAGAAGGGCTCGGTGGCAAGGGCCAATACTGTGAAAAGAGAAAACAACTTAAGGGATAAAAATAATGGTGTTGGTCGGACTTCACAGGCCTCCACTACAAGACTGGTATTAAAATGCGCACGCACACTCACGCACAAACGTGTGAAATGTCAAACAAACATACACACATCACAGGCTGCACAGAGCGCGCGCACCCCCACCCCCTCCACGAACAGGGCGAGCGCGCGCACCCCCACCCCCTCCACGAACAGGGCGAGCAGTTAAGGCACCTTAAAAAAAAAAAAAAAAAAAAAACCCAAAACCCGTGCAGCTTTGGCTTACCGAAACATTTTACAGTGTAACCAAGAAGCGATTTTCAAAGCATCTGAAAAACGTGCAAATTGTCTGAAAACTGCGCCTGGCAACCGAGACAGTTTGCAAGCGTGATTCAGAGGTCTGCCAAGGAAACAAAAGAAGCCTCCCTCCTCCCAGCGAGACCGCACATGGCACGAGAGGTGCTTCGGGCAGGGTTTAGCCTAAGGGAGCGGACAATCGCAAGTCTGTGCCGGCGCGGTACATACTAGGGATCGCTATCTGGCAGGGACGGGGCCATGGAGTTTCCATTGGTGGGGGAACCGCCCAGCTTTAGTTTTTCCAGATACTCGGCATGCACGGGCTTGTGCCACTGGAGAACCTTGATCGCATCTTCGACTTTAAACCACTCTCGCTTCCTCCCAATGCTAACCGAGTCTTCCCAATCCTCCAGCAGCTCAGTGACAGTCAGTACATACACGTACGTCCTGTGCTTGCGATCTTGGTTGTGCTCGAACACGCCCAGGAGCCGGCCTAACTTCCCCTTGACTCCCGCCTCTTCGTACACCTCGCGCACCGCTGCGCCGCCCGGCTCCTCCTCGGGCTCCATGCCCCCGCCCGGCACTATCCAGCGGTCCGGGTAGCGGCTGCTACTCACTAACAGCACCTCGTCCTCGCGCTCGCTCCGGAAGCACAGGCACGCCGCCCGCTTCTTGAAGCCCTCCGGGTCGTAGGTCCGCGTCTGGTTCGGCTTACACTTCATCCTCGAAGACGCCGCCGCCGCCGGGCAGCCGAGGCGGTGGGAAGAGAAAAGGCCGAGGCGAGGGCCGGGCAGAGAGTGGCGCCTCAGCCG